TTCAATGTTATAGACTAGCAGTTCTTAAGGTTTGAAATGCTGAAGTGCATGAAATATTTATTTAAAGTTCCTCATGAAGTGTCTTCAGATTTGGAGAGGAGGGAAGAGTAAGTTCATCTGTTAATGCACACACTCCATCATAATATTTTTATTGGAATGATTCCATGCAACTTTAAAATCATAATAATAAAAATAATAGTCTTGAATACTTGCTGGAGAAACTGAAATTCCAAGCCCATAAAATTGCTAGTAGAACACACCTATACAAAAGTCACATGAAAATGAAAGCTAGAAAATGACATGAATATAATTTGTACATGTGAATATATTTGGTGTGTTGGTGGTGCTGGAGGAGGCTCTTGAGAGTCCCCTGGACTGATAGGAGAATAAGCCTATCCATTCTAAAGGAAATCAACCCTGAGTGCTCACTGGAAGGACAGATCCTGAAGCTGAGGTTCCAATACTTTGGCCATCTCATGAGAAGAGAAGACTCCCTGGAAAAGACCTTGATGTTAGGAAAGTGTGAAGGCAGGAGGAAAAGGGGATGACAGAGGATGAGATGGTTGGACAGTGTCATCGAAGCTACCAACATGAATTTGACCCAAATCCGAGAGGCAAGGGAAGACAGGAGGGCCTGGCGTGCTCTGGTCCATGGGATCACGAAGAGTCAGACACGACTAAACGACTAAACAACAACAACAACAACAAGCCTTAACAAACAGGGGATCCATAGGATTGCATTCTTAACTAAGTACTCAATCCTCTTATAATATTGTGAATAGAATGCCCAGGGAATACCAGACATTTTAGATTTGTTGCTATTAAGGAGGCTTGCACTGGATTATCCCTCTGAACCAGAAGCAAGAAGAGACAACACAGGCAAAATGATCTTACAAGCAGAGCCTGCTTTTTTACTATTACAAATGAACTGTGAAAATATAAGGCACCATGTGTTCCAGTGACAACAGCTCTGCTATTTAAAACCAAGATTTTACATTTACATTTGCTTCACCTAAGACTTTCAGCCACTAGGAGGCATAACGTTCCTATCAGTTTCACCAGTAAACTTTCCCAGGCTCTCAGAATATTTTCAGTGTGCTTTGGAAACTAGCTTGTATAATAAAACCGGTGAGGTTTTACCTATACTATAATTAAGTTGTATTACAGATTCACCCAGAACTAAGGAACAAATACAGAAAATGAATGTGACAAGAGATAGTTTACTGTATTAAGGGAAGAGTATAATTTATCTTGTCACTCTTTTGGAGCAATTGCATAGTCTCAGGTGTCTTGAGGAAATGACTTGATCCTGAATCTGAAAAAATGTTCCTCTGCTGATTTATTCTGGCAGTGGAAACAGGCCCTAAGTCACATATCTAGCCACTTAGTGTTCTGCTTCTCGTTGCCAGGATCAGACATGTTCCACCAACCATTTATGTTCACTGAGAAGGGTTTAAAAAACCACAGTTCTCATGCTACAATTGCCACAATCAAGTATCCACTTGACTAAAAGTCAAAAGTAGACCCTTCAAACTTTCCAAAGGTAGAAGGTTTAAGAAGCAAAATTCCAGCATCCATGAATAATAGTTGTAACAAAATGTTTCCTGAAAGAGAAGGAAATATCTTCAGCACTTGTTTCTGTAAGAATATATAATAATGTGGAAATCTCTCACCAACCATGGAAACTTTTATCATCCATAACTGTACATTGGTTTACTTTAGCATAGTAAGTCACAGTTAGAGTAGGCCTACATGAATCAATGGAACATACAGTACAGAGAAGTTGATTCGCCAAATCCCCATTGATTCAGTTGACCTATTCTGCTGTGATTTTATAACAGGCCAATCATTTAGAATGCATGGAATCTTAAATGCATTAGCATTGTTCCCAGGAGGGACATACATTAATAGAATGCAAGTTAAATTTTAAAGAATTAAACAGAACTGGACACAGGGCAGAAAAACTAGTCAAACGGGTTCAAAACCAGCCAGGTAGAACAATATCAACTGCCTCCTTTTTAAGTTGATGTTCCTATAGGCCAGTGGCGACAAACTGGAAAACAAGGACAACAAACCACCAGCGGGCGGCGTGCTGTGGCAGAACCAGGGGAATCCCAGGCATGGAGGTGCCTTGAGGCCCCACTCTGGATCCATTGCCAGCGCCAGCTGCTCCAAATCCTGGCTCACCACCTGTCAAAGTGCCAGCACTGCGGCTGGCTGCTCCAAATGCTGGCTCGCCACCTGTCGAAGTGCCAGCACTGCGGCTGCGCCCGCCTCCTCAGGTTTGGGGTCAGGATTAGATCCGGCGACTTATGACTTGCATGCCTGCAGAAATGGGTCTCTGTGCCAGCTGTGGCACACATGCCATAGGTTCACCATCGCAGCTATAGGCTGATGAACCTTTGCAAGAGTCAATGTATTTTTGAATGCTGGCTCGCCACCTGTCGAAGTGCCAGCACTGCGGCTGCGCCCGCCTCCTCAGGTTTGGGGTCAGGATTAGATCCGGCGACTTATGACTTGCATGCCTGCAGAAATGGGTCTCTGTGCCAGCTGTGGCACACATGCCATAGGTTCACCATCGCAGCTATAGGCTGATGAACCTTTGCAAGAGTCAATGTATTTTTGGAAGGGGAATGGGGTTCCATAAAAGGAAGGAATAGATTATCTCCATTGGTCCTGGTGAAGGCGAACAATGTAGGGTTTTTTAGTTGTTTTATTTTTATGTATATTAATAAAAATAATTCCTAATTTATTTTTAATTAATAAAACATCACAAATATATATGTTTAAGTTCAGTTTATTTCCCAATAATTTTCTGGTAATGGTTTTTGCACCAGCTTCAATACTGTGAAACATAAAATCCATAGTTGTACTAACAAGACAGAAACGATGTAGATAAATTTATTGTGCCATTAGTTTCCTAGCCAGCAGTACTTTTTAATCAGGCATAACATCTGCTATACAGGCCTAAAACAATTATTTTTTCTAGAAAATGGAACCAATAGGTGTCATGTTTTCATAATGCTGAAACAACTTCCACCAGTTTTCGGAACTAGACCTCAGTGGGATGGGAAAGAAATGCTTAATTCTTTTTGTGTCGAGCACTTTGCTATCTGCTTTTCTTCTCTTGCAGTTAGTGTTTTTCATTGGAGGTTTATTTGCAGCCTTACATGCTCTCTGTAGTTTGTGTAAGTGGGAGGGCCTTTTCTGGAGTGATTGTCTATTCAGCACTAGCCAATGGACGGACAGACAGCACAAGCCAAACACAAACATATGCGAATCCATAGTTGGAAAGGGCAGAAGAAACCTCTTGTGCCAGCACAGCTGCCCTTGTACTGGCATGACCTGTGCATGTGGTCTGATCTTAGATCTACTAGCATCTCCTGCTTGCAGAAGAGTCAAAAAGGGTGCAGAAAAGGGGAGTAAATGAATTATGCCAGGTCCAAGCCCCTCAGCCCGGATTCACAGTCATGATACCAGTACAAAGTTATACTAGAGTCAGGATAAGTAATGTCAGCATTCCTTCACTGAAAAAGACTTGGAGTGTACACAGCTTCAGTTGGCTTAGTGACACCCCAGAATCACTCAGCCATTTTGGCTAGGTAGGATTATGTTTAGATCAGTGGTTCCAAACCTTGGGTCTCTATATGTTCTTGGAATATGAGAAGCAAGTGAGATAGCTAAGCTGAAGGTGCAGATAAAGTAAATACACTACTGAGGCACTGAGGCCTCTGAAGGAAATAAAACCAGTTATCTGAAAGGGATAATACATTCATCCATTTGAGTACAGATATTCTTTACAGTCATATTGCTAAACTCTTTCCTACCACTTGGCAGGTTTCTTGTTAGCACCTCCACTGATTTTTTTCTCCAGTTTTGTTTGATTTTTCTAATGAGATCTCTGAAAATCATCAGATTTTAGCATCTACACCTAGGGGTCAACCTCATTCTGTCTTTTCCTGTTTCTGATACTGGCTTTTTATATCACAGACAGAAGCTGGATTCAGCTGCTATGTTCTGAAGGTCAAGCTGAAAGCGAAGTTTTGTATGTATGTGTGTGTGTGTGTCAATCTTAATTATAGTGGTTCCCAACCTTGGGTAACGCAGGTGTTCTCGGACTGCAATTCCCAGAAGCCTTCACCACCAGCAGCGCTAGCCTAGGCTTTCTAGGAGTTTCTCCAAGAACACCTGAGTTGTCCAAAATTGGGAATCACTCCTTTAAGATAGAAACAGTAGTTCATTTTCCTGTCACATCAGCAAAACAGGCTGCTTATACCCTGCTTTTCTGCCTGTTTATTTAGAAAGAAGAGAGTTTGGTGGAGGGTCAACTCTGAAGGAAGCCTATCTAAGACTGAAGCCGGGCATCACAATTCTACTCATTTTTACAGTACTCAGAAAGCAAATGACTTCCTAGCAATACTGAAATCCTACACCTTGGAAGCAGGGTGACTCCGGTTTAGAGACTGGTAGGATTTTCTTCACATTACTGGACCTGAGTGCGGCTTACTAGCCTGCGTGTCGTTCCCACGACAGGGCTGCCACCTTCATTTGTGACCCAGATAACCATCTTCTAAGCCAAGGCACTGGAAGTCACCACAGACAGTAGCTTCCCTCTTTGCTTCGCACCCTGAGGCGCGCTGTTCCTTTTGCGCAGCTCCAAAAGAGCCCCCCCCTTTTTTTTTTCACGCTTTCACTCCCAAATGACTACAGTAAGTTCATTGTACAGTACTAACATCCCGAGACAGCTTTTATTTACAGCGAGGAAGGGCAGGGCTTTGGGGGGGGCAGTGAAGGAGCCCAACAGCTTCTCCAGCATTCACTACGCGTGCTCGAAATATTCCGCGCGCGCCCCCCCCCTCGTTCCTGCGCGTGCTCTGTGAAGAGACAAGAGAGGCGATGGCGAGAAAAAAAATGGGATAGTAAGGCGGGAGAAAACACACTCCGCCCCCTTTCTTCTTCGTCTTCTCCCCCCCCTTTCCCCCCCCTCCTAAAGCCCCGCCTTTCGCCCTGCTGAGCTCGGTTCCTCACTAGGCCAGTCACAGGCTGAGGTGGCAGCTCGCTGAGGGCGGTCTCTCTCTTTCCCTCTCTCTCTCTGCCCTCCCTCCGCGCCCCAGCCCAGCTTGGCAGCGCCCGGGTGGGTGTGAGTGAGGAGGCGACTGTTGTCGTCGTCGTCGCCGCCGCCAACAGGAGCTGGGAAGCGGCGCTACCTCGCCTCAGTCCCGAGCGTGTCAAGAGCATGAAAGCCGGATGTGAGGCAGCGGAGCCAGCGAGGCAGGCGCCGGGTCAGTAGCCTCGCCTGGTCGCTTGGAGGAAGGGAAGGGAACGCGCCCAGCACCCTCCCGCCTCAACCGCAGCAGCAGCAGCAGCGGGGCTTCCGCGGGTTCGAGCCCAGCGCCGGGCAGAGGCCGCCGAAGAGCTGCTGAGGGGGCGGTGGTGGTGGTAGTGATAGAGGTAGTGGCGGCGGCGGCGGCGGCGGTGGCCACGGCTGCCCCATGTCCCGTAAGGCCAATGTGGAATATACCCTGCGGAGCCTGAGCAACCTCATGGGGGAAAAGCGCCGCCGGCAGCCGCCGCCGCCGCCGCCGGAGAGCTCGTCGAGCCTTGGGGAGCGGAGCCTCATTGCCGCCGGCGAGTCCTGCTCCAGCCTCAACAGCCAAACGTCGGGCGGCGGCGGTGGTTGCGCGGAGCTGGAGCGAGCGGCCAGGCGTCAATTCCAGCAGGACGAGACGCCCAGCTTCGTCTATGTGGTTTCGGTCTTCTCCGCCCTGGGCGGCTTCCTCTTCGGCTACGACACGGGCGTGATCTCCGGGGCCCTCCTCTTGCTGAAGAAGGAGCTTAACCTGGACGCTTTCTGGCAGGAGCTGCTGGTCTCCAGCACGGTGGGCGCCGCCGCCCTCTCCGCCTTGGCCGGCGGGGCGCTGAACGGCTGGTGGGGCCGCCGCGCCTGCATCCTCCTGGCCAGCTTCGTCTTCACCGTCGGAGCTGCCTTGCTGGCGGCCGCGCAGAACAAGGAGACGCTGCTGGGAGGACGCGTCGTGGTGGGGCTCGGCATCGGTAGGTGTGGCTGGCCCCGGTTGATCTCCCGAGGCATCATCCCCTCGCCTCGCCCCTTCTGGGGAACTTTTTGGTAGCCTCCCCCCCCTTTTTTTTTTGTTTTTGCTTTCTGAATGAGTCCGATGCACACAACCACACCCCTACACCCCTCCGGTGCCTGCACTCTTTGTCTGGTACAAGTTTACGGGGCTTTTTTCTTTTTTTCTTTCACTTCTTGGCTTAAATCGACTGCGCAGGGGCTTCACTCTTTGCCCCCCCTCCTTTTCGATACGTGCGTGGGGTTACTGAGTTTATTCTCTCCACGTTTCTTTTGCAACTGCCCCACCCCCCTCAATTTTAAAGGACAGAACCCCAACCAAAATACCTAGGGAATTACAGCTCTAAGTCTTACAATAGGAAAGTTTTGCTTCCTTTGTAATACATTCAAGATGTTACCTGATTCTGCTTTTTTTTTAAAGAAGAGAATACACAATCCATCAATCATCCCCTCGTTTGTCTGTTGTGGGGGGGAGTGGAATTTACTCACCTTTGTACTGTTAAATGACCTTGTATCACTCTTAGAAACTCAAATACATTTTATGAGTGCTCCTGGTTATTTTGTTATCCATTGGCATTTTGCTTAGAACAGCCCTGTACAGTACCTATTAAATGGTCTTGTTAGCCAAATACATGCTATAGCTTGAAACTGATAGTAGTTTTGTATAATTCGTTTTTAAGGGAAGCTTTGAGTCTGGTTCACAGGTCCTTAGTTATAATCCAGCTGCTGAATGGTGTTTTGTGGAGGAATTTCATGTCTCTGAAACAGTACTCTCATTTCATCCATAGTTTATGCTATCCCACTTGTACAGGCTCTGTCAGTTAGGGATGGCATTAACAGCCACTGCTTTCATTGCAAATGCCTAGCATTGTATGTAAGGAATGGTAAATGCATATTAATTCTCCAGTTTTGTGTTACTTTCTTGCATCCTGAGTGGTTATATTTTCTGATAATATTCTCAATTCAGACGATGTCTTAACATTTGAGTTTTCATTACTGATGTGAAATTACCTCTGTGTTTTGGAATAGTATATCATTCCCAGAAGCTCTTTAAGACTCTGGAAGATAAACATTCCAATATACTTTAGTTGCTAACATTTAGGATATTACTGCCCACACTTATTTGGGAATGTTACTGAATGAAATTGGATTTGATTCTCGATAGATTTGTATAGGGTTGTAAATTTATGATGTAAACTTATTAAACATTGGTCTGATACTTAATATATGCTGCCCTTTCTTTGAGAATCAGGGAAACCTTATGGTGTTTGGGACCATTTTATCATAACTCAGTGAAATAAGTTAGACTGACAGTACGGTAGCTTGTTGAATATGGGTTTGAATCCAGGCATTAGTAGCAAATGGTTTGCTATATATGTACAGACAAGAGAGAGAGAAAGCATCTAATGATGCATGACTGTCAAGTGTCTGTTCATTAAAAAAAAGGTGAATGAATCACCCACTAAAGACTGCCTAGGGCTTTTCTGTCTTACTTCTAAAGAGTTCATTTCTGTTTCATTAATACTGACTTCTGAGTGTACGCGGGATTGCTGCTTTTGTGATATCCTAAGGTTTGTGTGAAAGAATTTGTTCTAGCCTGCTAAAATATTCTGTGTTACATACTCTTTGTCAGCTTCTTGTTCTTCAGTGTTAATTGACCTCTTGCTGGTCTCATTCTGTTGCAGAATCCTCCTGTATATGTCTTAAATTCTTCTGTAATGTTTTTTTCCATCCATAGTTTTCTATCTATACATATCTCTCTTTTTTCCCTGCTGTTCCATCACCTGCTGGCTCTCAGTTGTATTTTTCAAGAGGATATTCAATGCCATACTTTCTCCCCTTCAGACTCTGATTTAACTCTTTTTGAGCTCAGTGGTTTAGGTATTTGGCTGCAGAGCCAGAGTTGGGACTTTGATTCTCCGCTGTGCCTACTGCAAAAAGATCCAGCCTGTGTAGTCATGGGCAAGTTGCATAATCCCAGGATGCCCTCCTCAGAAGGGAATGGTAAATCACTTCTGAGTACTCTCTGCCTAGAAAACCCTGAAAAGGGTCGCCATAAATCAGAATTGACTTGATGGCATGCATTTATTATTATTTGCCTCAGTGTGTTGTGTTCTTTTAGACTGAAAACCTATGGGTTCAGGCTCTTGTCATTTTATCCTTGGCCATATAAATGAAAAGGAAATGCTCAGAAGGATCTGCCAATGCTTTCTTAGTTTGCCATTGGGTTTTTATGACTTTAGACGGTAAATAGTGCATTCAACTTCCAATTTGTCTTAACTGTTCAGTTATAATGCATGGTTCAAGCTTATTGCTGGAAGTAAACATTAAGAGGAACACCATTCCTTTTCTTATCATGATTTGAATCACTGAAATTATCTTGATTCACTTAAGTTTTTTTTGTAGATTTTGCTAGTGAGCATGCTAGATGAGCTTTTAAACACTGCATTTTTTCTATAAATCAATATAAAGAGTTGATATTGAAAACCAAAAAATGAGGAAGGTGCCAAATTGCATATTTCTTTGTTGCATTAGGATGCAGTTTTTCAGTCATTCACTAAATTCATGTAAGACTTTGTAAACGTTGAATGTTGCTTTTGAAAAATTAGAGTAATTATATTGACTTAGGACTGTGGTACATCATGAGTAATCAAAATGTTCGTAATTCACAATGTAGTATATTCACAGTTAGATACTGTTTATGTACTTCATTGTGGATTTGCTATGGGTCGTATAGGGCGATGCTTCTGAAGACTAAATGTATAAATTGCTTCGATATAGGCAGTAGTGGAAAAAGTGTTGCTCTGTGTCAGAATTATAAATCATTATATTTAATTTAGCACTCTATTTAAGTACTCACTTTGAAGCTATATGAGGAATTGCATGCAGGCATATCTACCTAGTTCCATGCGTGCAGGACAGTGGGATCTCAGAGGAGGCAGCTGGACCTTCCTTATGTCCTTCACAAAAACACAGTGGGATTCTGGTTGAGGGACAGAGTGCCATGTCCATCTTCTGCCAGTTCCAAACAGGCTAGTAAAATAAATTGCACATTAGAATTATTTTTGTGGGATTTTTTACTGTACTACATTTATATTCTGTTTTCCACTGAAATGCTGTTCCCTAGCTGGTTGACAAAGATCTGTCAAAATACATTTTAATAATTAAATGCACATTAAAATAATTTTAAAACAGATTGGATAAAAATAATATAATCAGAATAGAGCAATAAAAAGGATCAAAAGAATCAGTAAGACAGCTACTGTAGTGGTTGTTTTTCTAACACATACAACACCTGCAGTCATTTAAGAGGGTGTAGGTGCTACATATGAAGAGTGGGGCCAATATGTTAGCTCTGCCCCTCTTCCACTGCAGGTTCTTGTACCCTTTTACCATGAGAAGATAATTGGGTTCAGCAAAGAACATCCTTTTCCCATGGAGGTTTCTTGGACAATATTACATCTTACTGATCAAGGTTTTAAATCACATGGCCTTTATATAGAGAGAAGGCTCTTTACTGTGTACAGTTGTCCTCTACTTGCTGAAGATGAATGGAAGGATGACACAGAGGATGCAGAGGCCATTGCAATGTGTACAGTATGTGTTATAAAATGACTGAACAAGGCTACAAGATTATTTAGAACAATAGGCAAAATAATGAATGGATTCAGAACTATGTTAATTGTACTTAGGTACCGTTGAAATCTGTGGCTCAGGTTTAATTTCCAAAGGTTCCTGAAGGAAGAAAATGAAACTATCTTTTGCCTATAGGGTTGTATTAACTATAAGATGTCTAACCAGTATTAAAATAATAACAGTATTGGGATTTCACTCTTCATGTATGTATTAACTTTCAGACTCATATGGTTTGTGTAGATTATCTTGATGTGAACTATATTCTGTTATGTAGTGCAAATTACAGTAAAAAATCTGTATGATTAGAAGTATATGAGTATAATTAACTCAAATTACAACATTACTAGTCAGTCAGTTTTGCTTTGAATTCTTTTGTTGCTACTAAAATATAATGCTAGACTCCTACTGTACTTTACCTCTGTGATGTAAGTTTTTAATTCAAGAGTAGCATAGCATTAGACAGTCCTTTTACTTAAGAGTAGTCTTACGCTACATATTCTACAAACGGCTACTTTAGCAGCAACAGTGAATATTTGCTTTATGCATTCTGAAAATATATATTAACACAGAAAACATTACAAAGTATTCTAGAAATCTGGTGAAGAAAAGTATGGGGACAGCAGTGGTTCCCAGATCTAGTTCCCCAAAGTTGGTTCTTTGACTACAGCTTCTAGAAACTTTAGCAGAACAGTCAACAGAGGAGAATATGATTATTGGAATTGTAGTCCAATTTACTCATAAAGGTTATATTTGAGGCCCTCACTTTGGAAATGACTGGGCTGTAGCCAGAGCAAGTTCTAGGTTAGCATTTTTAAACTTTTCCATTTATTTACCATGTAAACTGAAACATATATAAAATATGGATTTAATAAATATTTAATAATTATGATCTTGCTTTTCTAATACAGTGGCTGTTCATACTTCCAAGATCAAAGTTAAGTTAGATGTATGCTGTAAATGTGATATTTGTACACTATACAGCCTTGGATCCAGTTCAGCATTCATCCTATATCTATATTAATTTTGAGCGTGTGAAGTGAGAAAATCCTATCTTGCATTTATATCTCAGGAATACTTTTTTCACCTGTTAGCACTGGTTTCATTCTTAAAAGCAACACCCTCTTAAGATTAAGGGGTCCTTTCTTTAGAGGGCAATTAGGCAGAAGGACTATTTTATAAGAATTGTGCACCACAGACCAGTGCCTTCTTAACATGTTCAGTAACATGACCTTGATCAACAAATACCATTTTCATGGTCAGAAAAAATAAATTAGGTAGGTAATGTAGTACAGATATTTTTGATTCTTCAGTCTTTTCAAGAACTGTA